GAAGAGGGAGCCCGAGCAGCTGTGGCTGTTTCTGTGGCCTGGGGGCTTTACAGCAAGGCCGCAGAGGGGACTCAGGGATCAGCTGGACTCTGCCCCACGGTCTGTCATCCCCTGCAATATTCCCCAGGTGACCAAGATGCCCCAGGAGGTCAGTGAAAGGATTGTGAAAGCTGAGTGTTTTCTTCTCAGTGGGCTGGAGAAGCGGCTCTGTGAGGGGGGGCACGGACACTTGTGATCAGCTTCCAGGTGCCAGGAAGAGCGGTTCAGAGAGTTATGAACAATCCTTGCCAAACTATCAGGGAAATCCTGTCTTTGCTAGTGCCTCCACCCCTTGCTCCCAAGGGCTCTGCAGGCACCCTGGCTCTGTACAAGAGAGACAGCTCTTCCTAATAAATGCAGCCCACAGCCGGGATAAATGATCTACTACTGCAGCTGCCAGCCAAGGGGGAGTCGCCTTGAGCTCAAGTGGCAGAGGCTGGTCGTGTTGAGGCTGAGGGTTCCCACGTGCACAGCATATGGAAATAGCACCCCTTCTGCGCAGCCTGTGGCTATACTAACCCAAACATAGCAGGATTGATGTTTCCCCTAGAAAGGGGTGGCAGGATTTGGGGAGCAGGAGCAGCGTGTTGAATGGCAAAGGCAGGACAAGGTGTGGATGGATCTTAAGGTTGTAGATAAAAACCTCCCCTTGCCATTTTGGAAATGCCAAGTTGGCTCAATGAAGCCCCAGCACAGCACTGCACCGAAAACAGTTTTCAGAGGAAAACACTAGGGCTCACATCCCGCCACCAGGAAATCTGGAATTCATTGTTATTGTTGTTATACAGATTAACGTGCTAAACCACCATGAAGGGAAAGGATGTGAGCCGGGTCACCATGGCTCCACACTGTCTTTCTAGAAATATGAACTTCCAGTCACACCCCCAGCTCTAGCCCACTAGACTCCACTCCCCTCCCAGAGCTGGGAATAAAACCCAGAAGTCCTGACTTTCCCCCACCCAACCCCCTGCTCTAGATCCTGGAATTGGGGGTGGGGAAGAGGTAACAGTTGCGATAGGAGTAAGTGAAATTAAGTCTATGGATGAAAGAGGAGTCAAAAAAAAAGTTGTGTGCCTCCAGGGAGCAACTACTGAGACCCTCACTGATTACTGGGATTGATACAGTTTCTGACCCCTCTAGCCATTTCTGCTTCCCAACTCCACATCCCAACACACAGTCACATGGAGGTAACTTCCTGAACAGTGTCCCAGTTGGATCTGGTACTGTGGTAAATGAAGGGGGGCAGGTAGCTCCCTGTTATGGACACCCAGCCAGCCAGTTAGCTATAAAATCCCTCTTAGTAGCTGTTCTCCACTTGCTTTACCTGTAAAGGGTTAAAAAGTCTCACTGCGATGCATAGGGAAAAGGAAGTGAATTGGCACCTGACCAAAAGAGCCAATGGAAAGGCTGGAACTTTTTAAAATTGAGAAAAACGCCCCCTTTGTCTGTCTGTCTGTTGTTCTCCCGGGAAGAGGGGGACCAAGCAGCGATGCTGTAAGAAGCTTGGGCCAGGTATGAAAAATCATCAGATCATATCTAGAAACTACTCATCTGAAACCTCAGATATGTAAATAGACCAGGAAATGTCTAGGAAGATGCGATTAGGTTTCTCTCTTTTATTTCTTTATGGTTTGTGGATTCCTCTGTGCTAACCCTAGGTGCTCTTGGCACCTTTAAGTTGGAACTCAAATAAACTATTTTTGGTGCTTAATCCTTGTAATTTTTTTTTTTTAAATCAAGCAATAGCTGAGTTTACAGATTTATTTCCTTTCCTTTATTTTAAAAATAAAATTTGCCTTTTTTAAGAATAGAATTAAATTTGTATGTCTTAAAAGGTTTGCGCACATGTTGTTTAATTAGCTGGTGGCAACAGCCAAATTCCTTTTTTATTTCTTTCTCAGCTCTTCCCCGGAGGGAGTGGGGGGGGAGGGGGGTGAAAGGGCTTGAGGGTACCGCCCAGGAAGGAGTTCCCAAGTGCGCCTTCCTGGTCTCTCAAAGGGGTTCTGCACTTGGGTGCTGACAGCATCTACCAATCCAAGGCCAAAGAAAAGCTGTAACATGGGGGTTTAATACAGAGGTGGGCAAACTATAGCCTGCAGGCCACATCCAGCCCGCGGGACCGTCCTGCCCGGCCCTTGAGCTCCCAGCCAGGGAGGCTAGCCCCCGGCCCCTCCCCTGCTGTTCCCCCTCCCCCGCAGCCTCAGCTCGCCGTGCCACCAGTGCTCTGGGCGGCAGGGCTGCAAGCTCCTGCTGGGGAGCGTGGCTGCAAGAGCCGCCAGTGTAGTGTACTAAATTGCTCCCTGTAGGAATGCGCTACTTCCAGTGCTACTTACGGCTGCCAGTCCTGGTGCTCTGAGCGGCATGGTCAGGGGACAGGGAGCAGTTGGATAGGCGTGGGAGTCCTGGGGACCTGTCGGGGGTGTGGATAGGGGCAGTTAGGGGTCAAGGAGCGGGGGGAGTTAGATGGGTCGGAGGTTCTGAGGGGGGTGGGAAGTGTGAGGGGGCAGAGAGGGGGCAGGCTGTTTGGGGAGGCAAAGCCTTCCCTACCCGGCCCTCCATACAGTTTCAGAACCCCGATGTGGCCATCGAGCCAAAAAGTTTGCCCACCCCTGGTTTAATACAAGCCTGGAGTAGCAAGTATTAATTTTTAGAGTCCTTGCGGGGCCTCAACCTTCTGCACTTGAAGTGCCAGAGTGGGGAATCAGCCTTGACAGGTACAATACCCTTGCGAGAGCACAGTCCGTACCTTCTCTCTCGGACACAGCTCACACTGGTTCTCTCTCGAGGCATCCGTGGGAAGGAAGACAATGCTTCAGATGAGCACATACCACTGGCATTTCTCAGTGGGGAGAGTCTCCAGGCTGCATTACGACTGTTCCTGAAACTGATGCCCTCTCTCCAGCCATAGGAAAGGAGCAATCGGCAGCTACAGTACAAGCTGCCCCATGGCACCCCCCACGTCCCTTGGGGCTGGGATCCCAACTTATACAGCGTTCTCTAAGGCCATTCATTTAGGGGCTCTTGGTGGCAATGACTAGGACTGGAGTAGCTGAGAGCTTTCCACACAGCCAGCGCGCCTGCCTCGCTCCCTACAGCGCCCCCTGCTGGGAGAGGCTAGAGTAGCCAGGAACTCCCCTGCAGCCCGCACTTTAGCTCTGGTCCTGCTGCTGGGAGAGGCTGGGATTGGAGGAGCTGGGAGCTGCTTCCTTAGGCCTTAACCAACCTCTTAAACATTGCTCCCTGGATTTGTTATTATTCCTGCACCAGAGACAGGAGCTGGTGTTCAGACCATCTTTTGTCTTCCCCTTGTCTCCCATATTCTCCCTCCACAGAGAGTGTATGGCTAAGGACCAGGAGAAATATGGTCCCTCCTCTCTCTCCTTCCCTTGTACACTGCCTTGATGCCCTCCAAAGCCATCCTCTCCCCTTGCAGGATGTGTCCCAGAATGTTGCTCACCTTTTAGATGAGCAAAACATAACTTGCTGCCTGTCAATGAAAACAATGGGATTCCCACAAACCCTCTGTGGTCTGATTTTACCACCACTCTGTGTCACCTCTACTTGGTTTGCTCTGTTTTAGGGAACTTTTGCCAAAAAAAACAAGCAAGAAATATTTCCCTGGGGAGACAGCTGTCTGTAGGGAATAGGGAAATGCCACATAGAGCCAGGAAGGAAAACCGTGGAGAACCAGGGGAAATGGGAGGCGAAAATGACAGTGTTGGTTGCATCTCATGGGTCATACAAAGGATGGGATTGCAATGAACTAGAACTGCCTTCATTACCGGTTCCCACTTCCTGGCTTTTCGAACCATTCCCAATAGTTAGGAGCCTCCGTATAAAAGGAGACATGGATATAATGGGATTCCCCAAGGAGCCGATCTCCCCTCCCTGACTCATTCCTTACCCGTCCTAGTTGCCTCCATGAGTCTCTGTGCCAGGGCAACCCTGTTCATGTCTCTCAGGATGTCCTGGGTCACCCGCAGAGCATGTTCCTGCCCACACTCATGGATCAGCTCCTCCATGACCTCCACAGGCTCTGCTGTCTTCAGTCTATTGCAGGGAACAGGGTTAGAGTCCTGCTCATGGTTGATCTCAGACACTTTGATCTGGAAGCTCTCAAGTTCCTTCTGTCCCATGCTGCCCCAGGTTTGCATCAGGAGATCACTGACTCTGAAGAGGGCTGATCTCCACTCCCAGGTTTGTCTGATGTAATCCCTCTGCATCTCAAAGTCTTGTCACCTGGGTTCTCTGGTTCTTGTTTCTCAGCACGCTCAGGGTTGCTTCTATGGCATAGCGCACCCCGTAGTGACTGATTATGTCCTCCATCATCTCTGCCAACCCTTCCCTATCCAGCTTGTCCCCATGGATGCGGGGGTTGGTGATAGATGTGTTTCTCAGTTCAACTTCAGTCATTTTGAAGATCCTTGAAGATCCTAAGCTCCTCCTCTCCCAGGTTATCCAAGGTGCAGCGCAGAAGCTCCTTCACTCTGGAGATGGTCAGTAGATGCTCACTGCACTCTTTCCCATATGCCCCCAGTGTCTAAGCAAGTCCTTTTGCGCCGGCCTCTTGGTTCATGACTCTTGTCAAGGTTCCTTCCCCACCCTGAACACTAGGGTACAGATGTGAGGACCTGCATGAAAACCTCCTAAGCTTATTTTTACCAGCTTAGGTTAAAACTTCCCCATGGTACAAACTATTTACCTTTTGCCCTTGGACTTTCGCTGCCACCACCAAACGTCTAACACCAGTTACTGGGAAAGAGTTCGTTTGGAAAAGTCTTTCCCCCCAAAATCCTCCCAAATCTTACCCCCCCCTTTCCTGGGGAAGGTTTGATAAAAATCGTCACCAATTTGCATAGGTGACCACAGACCCAAACCCTTGGATCTTAAGAACAATGAAAAAGCATTCAGTTTCTTAAAAAAAGAATTTTAATAGAAGAAAAAGTAAAAAGAATCACCTCTGTAAAATCAGGATGGTAAATAGCTTACAGGGTAATTAGATTCAAAATATAGAGAATCCCTCTAGGCAAAACCTTAAGTTACAAAAACAGAGACAAAAACAGGAGTCTACATTCCATTCAGCACAACTTATTTTCTCAGCCATTTAAAGAAAACAGAATCTAACGCATATCTAGCTAGATTACTTACTAAGTTCTAAGACTCCATTCCTGTTCTGTCCCCGGCAAAAGCATCACACAGACAGAGAGAGAGGCTTTGTTTCTCCCTCCCCCCAGCTTTTGAAAGTATCTTGTCTCTTCATTGGTCATTGTGGTCAGGTGCCAGCAAGGTTATCCTAGCTTCTTAACCCTTTACAGGTGAAAGGGTTTTTCCTCCGGCCAGGAGGGACCCCAAAAAGGTGTCTACCCTTCCCTTCACACTCATGATGCCCCCCAAATCAGATAGACTGAAACGCTGGCTGGGATTTCTTCCTGGAGCTCTAGGAGAAAAGAGTTAATAAGACACATGCACCTCTAAATATACTACAAAGTATATAAAGACTAACAATATTTTCCACATCTCAAGGATGATTTTAACCAGTTGATTCTGGGAAACTTTCACGGCAGAGTGCATCAGCCACTTTGTTAGAAGCTCCTGAGATGTGTTGGATGTCGAAATCAAAATCTTGGAGAGCTAAACTCCACCGAATAAGTTTTTTGTTATTTCCTGTGGCAGTATGAAGCCACTGTAGTGCAGCATGGTCGGTTTGCAGGTAGAAACCTCCTCCCCAAACGTATGGGTGTAGCTTTTCCAGAGCATAGACAATGGAGTAACATTCTTTTTCACTGACTTACCAGTTGCTTTCCCTCTCAGACAGCTTCTTGCTGAGAAACACTACAGGTTTGATCCAGTCCTTCCTGCATTGAAACTGCTCCCACACCACACTCGGACACATCAGTGGTTACTAGGAACGGTTTGTCAAAGTCTGGGGCCCTTAGTACAGGGTCAGACATGAGTGTCGCTTTAAGCTGGTTAAAGGCCTGCTGACACTCTTCGGTCCACTGAACGGCATTTGGCTGTTTCTTTTTGGTTAGGTCTGTGAGTGGGGCGGCGATTTGGCTGTATTGTGGCCAAGCCTAAGAAGGATTGAACTTGTTTCTTTGACTTTGGGACAGGCCACTTTTAGATTCCATCCACTTTGGCCTGTAGGGGGTTGATAGTTCCTTGACCCACCTGGTGTCACTCTGTTTAGGCCTATTTGACACTTCTTAGCCTTAACAGTTAGTCCTGCCTCCCTTATGCACTCAAAGACTTTTTGTAGATGTTCCAGGTGTTCTGCCCAGGAATCCGAAAATATGGCCACATCAAGGTAGGCGACTGCATCGTCTCCTAATCCCGCTAGGAGACCATCTACAAGTCTTTGGAAGGTGGCGGGTGCATTCCGCAGCCCGAAAGGGAGTACATTAAATTCATACAGCCCGACATGGATGGTGAAGGCTGACCTTTCCCTGGCGGATTCATCAAGCGGTATCTGCCAGTACCCCTTGGTTAAGTCCAAGGTAGAGATGAACTGGGCCCGTCCCAGTTTCTCTAATAGTTCATCTGTGCGTGGCATTGGATAGTTGTCTGGGCGAGTTACAGCATTGAGCTTACGGTAGTCCACGCAAAAATGTATCTCCTCATCTGGTTTGGGAACTAGAACCACTGGAGATGCCCATACACTGCCAGAGGGGCGGATTACCCCATCTGGAACATATCCTGGATCTCCCGTTCTATAGCAGTTTTAGCTTGAGGAGACACCCAGTAAGGTTGGACTTGGGTGAGCATTGGGTGAGCATTACCTGTGTCAATGGAGTGGTATGCCCGTTCAGTCAGTCCTGGGGTGGCTGAGAACGTCGGTGCATAGCTAGTGCACAGCTCCTGGATCTGTCGTTGCTGCATACGCCCAAGTGTCACGGAGAGGTTCACCTCTTCTACGCCACCCTCACTTTTCCCTTCGTAGTAGACACCTTCAGGCCACTCAGCGTCATCTCCTCCCTGGGCTGTAAACTGACAAACCTTTAATTCTCTGGAATAAAGGGCTTTAGAGAATTAATATGGTATACCTTAGGCTTTCGGTTAGAGGTGGGGAATGCTATGAGATAATTAACAGCTCCCAGGTGCTCCTGGACCGTGAACGGCCCTTCCCACAACACTTCCATTTTATGGGCCTGGAGCGCCTTTAAGACCATGACCTGGTCCCCTACTTTGAAGGAACGCTCTCTGGCATGTTTATCATACCAAGCCTTTTGCTCTTTTTGAGCATCCTGTAGGTTTTCTTTAGCAAGGGGTAGAGAGGTTCGGAGGGTGTTTTGTAGGTTGGTTACAAAGTCCAGAATGTTAGTTCCTGGAGAAGGTGTAAATCCCTCCCATTGCTGCTTCACCAACAGTAATGGCTCCTTAACCTCGTGGCCATACACAAGTTCAAAAGGTGAAAACCCTAAACTGGGATGTGGTACAGCTCTGTAGGCAAAGAGCAACTGCTGCAACACTAGGTCCCAATCATTGGAGTGCTCATTTACGAATTTACGTATCATGGCCCCCAAAGTTCCATTAAACTTCTCCACCATGCCATTTGTTTGATGGTGGTAAGGAGTGGCAACCAAGTGATTTACCCCATGAGCTTCCCAAAGGTTTTCCATAGTTCCTGCCAGGAAATTAGTTCCTGCATCTGGGAGGATGTCAGAGGGCCAACCTACCCTGTCAAAAATGTCTGCTAGTGCCTGGCACACACTTTTAGCCCTGGTGTTGCTTAGAGCTACTCTTCCGGCCATCGGGTGGCAAAATCCATGAAAGTCAGTATGTACTGCTTTCCTCTGGGTGTCTTTTTCGGAAAAGGACCCAGAATATGCACAGCTACTCACTGAAATGGAACTTCAATGATGGGGAGTGGCTGGAGAGGGGCTTTGACCTGGTCTTGGGGTTTTCCCACTTTTTGGCATACCTCACAAGACCGGACATAGGTAGAAACATCTTTGCCCATTCCCTCCCAGTGGAATGACCTCCCCAAATGGTCTTTGGTCCTGTTCACCCCAGCATGGCCACTAGGATGATCGTGGGCTAAGCTCAAGAGCTTAACCCAGTACTTAGTTAGAACGAACAACTGTCTCCGAGGATGCCAGTCTTCCTGGTGTCCACCAGAAAGAGTTTCCTTGTATAAAAGTCCTCTTTCTACAACAAACCTGGATCAATTAGAAGAGCTGAGAGGTGGTGGGTTGTTCCGTGCTGCCATCCAAGCTCTCTGGAGGCTTTCATCTGCTTCCTGTTCGGTCTGGAACTATTCCCTTGCTGCTGGAGACATCAGTTCCTCATTGGATTGTGGATTTATGCTTGGTCCCTCTGGAAGCGATGTAGGGGATGGGGCTGTTTCCGTTGATTGTGAACTGCTCTCCACTGGAGCACTATGTTAGGGTTCAGGCTCCGGCTGAGCCTCTTGTGTAGGGTTATCGGCTGCTGCCGGTTCAGGTTCGGTGGGGCCCTCTGGTGTTGGGGTTGCAAGTACTGGATTCAGTGCTGGCAATGGGTCTGGTGCTAGTTGTTCCGCGGGTTCCGGTTTGTCTGGGTCTCTGGGACTGGATCCACTACTGCTGTTGCAGACATTGGCCTGGTGTCCAGATCCATCACCTCTGACCAGGTCCTGGTAGAAGTTTCCGGAACAGAGCTAGGCGTGACAGTTTGTTTAGCCTGGCTGCGGGTGACCATTCCCACCCTCTTGGTTAGCTTCACACAATTGGCCATGTCTTCCCCCAACAGCATGAGGATGGGATAATCATCATAGACTGCAAAAGTCCACGTTCCTGACCAGCCCTTGTACTGGACAGGCAACTTGGCTGTAGGCAAATTGAAAGAGTTTGACTTGAAGGGTTGAATCGTCACTTGGATCTCTGGGTTGATTAAATTGGGGTCCACTAAGGAAGCATTGATAACTGACACTTGTGCTCCGGTGTCCCTCCACGCGGTGACCTTCTTCCTGCCCACACTCACTGTTTCCCTCCGCTCCAAGGGTATCTGGGAGGTATCTGGGCCTGAGGACCTCTAGTGTGATTCCGGTGCAATGAACTGTAATCTGTTGGGGTTCTTGGGGCAGTTGACCTTTACATGCTCCGGCTCGTTACATCTAACACATTGTCCAGCTGACAGGTCACTGGGGAAAAGTGGGTTGCTGGAGAACAGTGTGGCGGGACGATAAGGTGGCTGGAGGGTTCCTTGTGGGGTAGGTGGGGCCTTGGGCTGCCCCTGGTAGTAGGGTGTGGTCTGGGGTTGTCCCTTCTGGTATCCGCTCCAACTGCAACCAGTTTTTCTCTTTTCTGCCACCTCCCCGCATTTGGCTCCAATCTCCCCCACCTCGTTTACTGTTTTGGGCTTCCCATCTAGGATTTCCTCAGGAACACCCTCTAAGAACTGTTCCATTTGCATTAGGAAGGGCAAATCTTCTGAAGATTTAACACTTGCTCCTGATATCCAGGCATCCCAATGTTTCACAATGTGGTAGGCATGTTGGGTAAATGACACGTCTGGTTTCCACCGTAGGGCTCTGACCCGCTGACGAGAAGCCCCATTCTGACTCTCGCCTTGGTTTTAAACAGTTCATACTTGTTCATGTGTTCCTTAGGCATTTCAGTCACCACCTCAGCTAAGGGTCCACTGAGCTGTGGCCTCAGCTCTACCATGTATTGGTCTGTAGAGATGCTGTACCCAAGGCAGGCCCTTTTGAAGTTTTCTAAGAAGACCTCGGTATCATCGCCTGCCTTGTAGGTGGGAAACTTTCTGGGATGGGAAGTGGTACCTGGAGGCGGATTGCTAGGGTTTGTTGGTATATTCTGCTGAGTCTTTGCCTTCTCCATCTCCAGTGCATGCTTCCTCTCTTTTTCCTTCTTCTCCAGTTCTTTGGCCCTTGCTTCCATAGCTCTCCTGTGGGCAGCCTCTTGGTTCTTTTCTACCTCCATAGCTCTCCTGTGGGCAGCCTCTTGGTTCTTTTCTGCCTCTTTCGCAGCCTCCATTTCTTTATCCTTTGCCTACATTTCTCTCCTGTGGGCAGCTTCTAGGGCTTTTTCTGCCTCTTTCACTGCCTCCAGTCTGGCTAACTCCAATTAGTATTGTGTCTTGGTTTGTGTCATCTTTGCCTCTCTGTTTTTAACTAACTTTACACCCGAGAGTTAGAAATAAACAAAAAAAACCCAAAAAACCTTGGCTTGTAAAATTTTGCTGTGCTGTAATATGATACCTATATTTCCTGATAGTGATTGTCAGCCTACAGAAAAATCCTAAAAAAACAAAAACAAAAAACCCTAACACCTTTGTCTCCAGGCAAATAGATAGAAAACCCCTCTAGTTGATCTTAGGAAAAAAACAACTTCAGGTCTGTGAAGACTTGTAAATTTCCCTGCAGGAGGTTAACTACCCTATCTTTAGGTAGGGAAACTCCAGCTCACCAAAGACAATTCCCTTTTGTCTCTGCTCTGGCCCCAAAGCAGGAAAAAATCCTAACTGCTTTCAGCTTAAAACCTGCTTTCCAGCAGCCCAAAGAAAAAAAATTTCTTTTCAAATCTGTGCTTCTGGTTCAAAAGAATCTCAAATTGATCTTAAATGATTTCAAGTTAATCCCACCGCTCTGCCACCATGTCAAGGTTCCCTCCCCACTCTGAACTCTAGGGTACAGATGTGGGGACCTGCATGAAAACCTCCCAAGCTTACTTTTACCAACTTAGGTTAAAACTTCCCCATGGTACAAACTATATTACCTTTTGCCCTTGTACTTTATCGCTGCCACCACCAAACGTCTAATGGATATATAACTGGGAAAGAGCCCGTTTGGAAACGTCTTTCCCCCCAAAATCGCCCCAAGCCCTACACCCCCTTTCCTGGGGAAGGTTTGATAAAAATCGTCACCAATTTGCATAGGCGAACACACACCCAAACCCTTGGATCTTAAGAACAATGAAAAAGCAATGAGATTCTTAAAAGAAGAATTTTAATAGAAGAAAAAGTAAAAGAATCACCTCTGTAAAATCAGGATGGTAAATACCTTACAGGGTAATTAGATTCAAAACATAGAGAATCCCTCTAGGCAAAACCTTAAGTTACAAAAAGAGATAAAAAACAGGAATATCCATTCCATTTAGCACAACTTATTTTCTCAGCCATTTAAAGAAAACAGAATCTAACGCACATTTAACTAGATTACTTACTAAGTTCTAAGACTCCATTCCTGTTCTGTCCCTGGCAAAAGCACCACACAGACAGAGAGAGAGGCTTTGTTTCTCCCTCCCCCCAGCTTTTGAAAGTATTTTGTCTCCTCACTGGTCATTTTGGTCAGGTGCCAGCGAGGTTATCCTAGCTTCTTAACCCTTTACAGATGAAAGGGTTTTTCCTCTGGCCAGGCGGGATTTTAAAGGTGTTTACCCTTCCCTTGATATTTATGACGGGGCCATTTAGGGATCTGGGGCAAAAATTGGGGATTGGTCCTGCTTTGCGCAGGGGGCTGGACTAGACGACCTCCTGAGGTCCCTTCCAACCCTGATATTCTATTCTATGATTCTATTCTATTCTAAAAATGAGTGTGGGCTCTGCGGCCAGGGATGAGGGGTTCAGGGGGTGGGACGGGGCTCAGGGCTGGGGCAGCTGTATGGCCACTCCCCTGTGTGCATGTGCTGGTGTAGTCTGAGGTTTGAGTTGTGTGCAAAGTCCTTGCTGCAGTAAGCACAGGCGTACGGCCGCTCCCCGGTGTGTGCGTGCGCTGATGGGTTCTCAGATGTGCGATCTGTGTAAACCCCTTGCCACAGTCAGCACAGCAATACGGCCGCTCCCCGGTGTGCGTGCGCTGGTGTATTTTCAGCTTTGAGCTCTCTGCAAAGGCCTTGCCGCAGTCAGAGCAGTAGTACGGCCGCTCCCTGGTGTGTGTGCGCTGATGGGTTCTCAGGTGTGCCATCTGTGCAAAGCCCTTGCCACAGTCAGTGCAGTGGTACGGCCGCTCCCCAGTGTGCGTGCGCTGATGGGTTCTCAGGTTTGCAATCTGTGCAAAGTCCTTGCCACAGTCAGTGCAGTGGTACGGCCGTTCCCCGGTGTGCGTGCGCTGGTGTATTCTCAGCTTTGAGCTCTCTGCAAAGCTCTTGCTGCAGTCGGCACAGTGGTATGGCCTCTTCCCGGTGTGCGTTCGCCGGTGGAGGGTCAGCATATTGGCACTGTTGAACCCCTTGTCGCAGTCGGTGCAGCGGTACGGCCGCTCCCCGGTGTGCGTGCGCTGGTGTGTTCTCAGGTGTGCGATTTGTGTAAAGCTCTTTCCACAGTCAGCGCAGTGGTAGGGCCGCTCCCCGGTGTGCGTGCGCTGGTGTATTTTCAGCTTTGAGCTCTCTGCAAAGGCCTTGCCGCAGTCAGAGCAGCGGTATGGCCTCTCCCTGGTGTGTGCACACTGGTGCTGGATGAGTCCGGAGGGTTTTCTGAACCTCTTGCCGCAGTCGATGCAGCGATGGCGACGCTGGCCCACGGGGAGTCTCTGGTGCGTAGCCAGGTCTGGTCTCTGACTGAGTTTACCCTGGGGATGGACTGTGTCCTGTGCATGGATCCCTCTGTGGGATGTGGAATCCTGCTTTCCTGCTGCACTCTCCCCACACTCAGACCATTTCCTCGTTCCGCCCGGGATCCCGTGCCCTGTTGGAGAGAGCAGAGGCAATCCCAGTGTTAGCTCACGGTTAAGGCTACAAGTTTGTCAAGGATAGAAAATGTCACGGATAGAGCGATTTCTCCATTTGTCCATGACTGTTTTTTGGATGGGTGCCTTACCCTGCAATGATGGCTCCTGTCCCACAGGGATAGACCCAACGCCTTGCACTGGGCATTGAGACCTGGCCCGCGGGGTTCCAGTGCCACTCAGATTTGCCCCCACTCACATTCATGATGGTTGGGGGGGGGCAAACTTCAGTGAATGGCCTTGCCACCCAGATCTTCTCTAGCCCACACCAACCACTCTGCACCAGGCTATGGTCAGGGTTGCAGTGCTGAGGGGGAGGGTGCTTTTTGGGAGGCTAGTGCCCTCTGGGCAGGGCAGGTTTTATTAAAAATCCTGGAGCAGTCACAGTAAATGTAGTGACCTGTGATTTTACTAAATTTACTTTAACTGCTCCATAATTTTTAATACAAAATTCCACGACAAATCTTCAACCTTAGTCACGGTGGTTCTACCCTACATTGTTTGTGCAGCGCCTAGCACCTGCTCCCACGTGTACCATGCACCTCTTGGGTCTCATTTTATGCTTAAATTGTAGCCTGCCCAGGATACAGGCAGCGCCTGGCACAGCGGGGCCCTGGTTTTGTTTTCAAACTTATTTTGTTTTTATTTTAACCAGAGGTGTTTATTTACCTGGTGCTGGTTCTTCACTTTCTCCTCTTATATAGCATGAGGCCTGTTTGCCAGTTTTTGTGCTGTTTTAACTACATTGGTTTGAAATTAGTTGAGGGGCTACAATCTCCTCATGTGGACGTACCGAGACTGGTTTAAAGCTGCTGAGAACAACGTAGCTTATTCCTGTGGGGGAGTGAGTCCTTTTCAAGGAATTCCTTTTAAAGAAGTCATTTAGCCTCTGCTTGATGTTTCATTCTTTGTGCAAAACTAAAACTAAACTAAAATCCTCAAGAGGGTGGGGTTTGGGGTTGAAGGGATGTAACCTGTCACTCAGGGTGTGTGATGTAACCTGAAAAACATGTTTGTATTGTTTTACAACCCAATCAGTGACAATGCTGTGCTGGAAAGTGAGAGTGGCCTTTGATCTACAGACAGTCACAGACACGTTAGGGCTGAGGGCTGTGCTAAGCATGGACACTGAAGCAATGCAAGTGACAACGATTTCATGCCACTGAGGCCACGTCTACACTACCCGCAGGATCGGCGGGTAGTGATCCATCTATTGGGGATCGATTTATCTTGTCTAGTGTAGATGCGATAAATGGATCCCCAATCGCTCTGCCGTCGACTCCGGAACTCCACCACTGCAAGAGGCGGAAGCAGAGTCGATGGGGGAGCAGTGGCCGTCGATCCCGCTGCGAGGACGCGAAGTAAGTGATTCTAAGTTGATCTAAGATATGTCAACTTCAGCTACGCTATTCTCGTAGCTGAAGTTGCGTATCTTAGATCGATCCCCACCCCCAATGTAGACCACGCCTGAGAGAGCAGGACTAGTGGGGATGTGACAAAGGCCATGCCACCTCCTCTCCCTCACACCCTGCCCATACACCAGGGTACTCCACGCCATGGCCTGTAGGACGATTTCGTCTGGCCCCCAAACGCATCAGCTTCCCCTGTAGCAGCTGCCTGGAACCCGGGGCAGTTTTAGCGCATTACAGTGAAGCTCTACAAGTGCCTGAGACCTGCTCTACAAATTGCATCCTCCATGTGGCGTCCCCTCACACTCATCGTACATGACTGATCCTGCTCTGCCTCGAGCCATTCCCAGCTTTCTCCTTATTCGCTGGGGAAGGTTTCTCCAGTCTGAGAGGTTATGTGCACAATGAACTGGCAGAGAGGGGGTGGGGTGGGAACCTGGAGAGGACAGCACCTTCTCTGCCGAGGGCCAGTGACTCTGGGATGCTCTCCCAGGCTGCGAGCAGGTTTTTGCCCTTCTCTGAGCTATATTTGGACCCACGTGCCCAGGGCCATAGGACACCAGCATTCATAACTTGAGAGAGGAGGGTCAGAGGCATGAAACTCATCTCAAAAAACTCTAGGACATCCCTTCCCTTGGTATGATTTTCTGAGGTGTGGGAAGCCTAGAAGAAGGTGATGTGGTCTATGGACCGGCAGGCTTGTATTTCTACCCAGGTGCTTTTCTTCTCCCCCCGCCCGTGCCAGATCCGCTGACACACACAGACGGATTTTAGCCTCACAGTCCCAATGCCCTCTCCATTACACAGGTGAGGAATCTGAGGCATGGTGGAGCTGTAATGACCCACTTCTAGAACTGAACCAATATGTAGGGACAAAATTAGAAAGGCCAGGGCTAAAAACAAATTAAACTAGCTAAGTATATAAAAGGGAACAAGAAAGCATTTTACAAATACATGGGAAGCAAGAGGAAGACCAAGGACAGGCTAGGCCCATTACTAAATGGAGGGAAAGACAATAAGAGAAAACACAGCAATTGCCAAACTGTTAAATGCCTCCTTTGATTCAGTTTTCACCAAAAAAGTTAGCAGTGATCGGTCGACTAACATAGTGAACATTAGTGTCAACGGGGTAGGATCTGAGCCTAAAATAGGAAAAGAAATAGTTATGAATTTCTTAGACAAGATAGATGCCTTCAACTCAGCAGCGCCTGATGAAATACATCCTAGAATACTTAAGGATCTGGATGAAGAGATCTCCGAGCCATTAGCGATTATCTCTGAGAACTCCTGGAGGATGGTAGAGAAAACAGAGGACTGGAAAAAGGTAAATATAGTACCATCTATAGAAAGGGAAATAAGGACTACCCAGGGAATTATAAACCAGTCAGCTTAACTTCAGTACCTGGAAAGATAAGGGAGCAAGTAATCAAACATTCTATTTGTAAGCCCCTAGAAGGAAATAAAAGTAATAAGTAACAGTCAACATGGATTTGTCAAGAACAAATTATGTGAAACTAACCTAATATCCTTCTTTGACAGGTAACAAGCCTTGTGGACAGGGTGGAAGCAGGACATGTCACAGCTCGACTTTTGTAATGCTTTTGATACTGTCTTCTCATAAACAAACTAGAGAAATATAGCCTAGGCAAACCTACTATAAGCTGTGTGTGCAACTAGTTGGAACACCACACTCAGAGAGTAGTTATTATTGTTCATAAATGAACCGCTAGACTATATTGAACGGGATCCCACAGGGATCTGTCCTGGCTCTAGTTCTATTCCATATCTTCATAAATGATTTGGACAATGGCATAGAGAGTACACTCAAAGTTTATGGATGATTCAAAGCTGGGAGGGGTGCAAGCCCTTTGGAGGACAGAATTAGAATTCAAAATGATCCTGACAAACTGGAGAAAAGGTCAGAATTAAATAGGATAAAATACAATAAGATCATACACAAAGTACTACACTTATGTAGGAATAATCAGTTACACAAATACAGAATGAGAAATGACTGCCTAGGAAACAGTACTGCAGAAAACCATCTGGGGTTATAGTGGACCACAGACTACATATGAGTCAACCATGGAATCGTTTTTTGGGGGAGGGGGAAAAAGCAAATATTCTGGGATGTATTAGCAGGAGTGTTGCATGCAAGATGCGAGAAGTAATTCTTCCACTCTACTCAGCACTGGTAAAGCCTCAGCTGGAGTACTGTGTCCAGTTCTGGACACCACACTTCAGAAAGGATATAGACAAACTGGAGAGGGTCAGAGGAGAGTAACAAGAATGATTAAATGTCTAGAAGACATGACCCACGAGGAAAGATTGAAAAAATTGGGTTTGTTTAGTCTGAAGAAGAGAAGACTGGTGGCGGGGGGGGGGGGGGGGGGGGGGGGTTGGGGGGGCAGAAGAAGGGGAGAGCTGATAACAGTCCTCAAGTACGTAAAAGGCTGTTACAAAGAGGAGGGTGAGAAATTGTTCTCCCTATCCACTGAGGCCAGGACAAGGAGCAATGGGCTTAAATTGCAGCAAGAGAGAGATTTAGGTTAGACATTAAGAAAAACTTCCAGACTCTACGGGTAGTTAAGCACTGGAACAAATTATCTAAGCAGGTTGTGAAATCTCCATCATTAGAGGTTTTTAAGAACAAGTGAGGCAGACACCTGTCAGGGATGATCTAGATAATACTTAGCTTTGCCTCAGTGCAGGGGACTGGACTAGATGACCGACTGAGGTCCCATCAAGTCCTACGTTTCTATGATTCAAGATATCAAGGCCAGACAGACTCATTGTACCCATCCAGCCTGGCTTCCTGCCTAACCCAGGGCAGAGAATCTCCCCCGCAGTGATTCCTGCCTCTGGCCCAGTAACTCCTGGCTGAGTTACAGCAGGGCTTTGAGAAAGAGACACCCCATCTCCACTGACAGACTCCCAGTGATGGAGAATCCAAGCTGCCATGAGGGGAGCTCTCCCAATGGTTCCTTCCCCTCCCAGATAAACACTGACCCCTAATTCCCAGCCTCCATTTGTCCCCTTCAGCTCCCAGACAGTGGAGCTCGCTCTGCCTTTGCCTTCTACATTAAGGAGCCTGCCACTAGCAGCTGTATAAATCAGAAGGGACTGGATTATTATGACTCACCTGAGGAGGGGCTCTCAGGCCCTGAGGTTTCCCTGGAGTCCTCGGCATCCTGGATCCAGAGCTCTGCCTCCCCTAGCTCGATCCGGTGGATTAAATCCGGTGTGGAACCTGAATAGCCTGTTTGGAGGGGAAAGAATCAATTTTATTAATAAAATTTTGGGGGCAGGGAATCATTTATATATTGGTGCAGCCCCGCACAACAGGGCCCCATCTCGATCAGGGTGTGTCTGCCGAGCACCTGGCATGATGGGACACTGACCTTGGATGCTGCTTCCGAGGAAAGCGCAAGAGATCCCAAGCAGGAGAATAAAGAAATAAGCCTTCCTTAGAGATTTCTTCTCATCTCCCACCAGGCAAGTTTAGTTCATACTCTGAAGTGCAAAAAGAAAAGGAGTACTTGTGGCACCTTAGAGACTAACCAATTTATTTGAGCATGAGCTTTTGTGAAGTGAGCTGTAGCTCACGAAAGCTCATGCTCAAATAAATTGGTTAGTCTCTAAGGTGCCACAAGTACTCCTTTTCTTTTTGCGAATACAGACTAACACGGCTGTTCCTCTGAAACTCTGAAGTGCAACGTCTATGACCCATCTCAATTTGCAGTGGGGGGCCCAGTTTTAAATCCTTACTAGGGGAACTCCAGATGTTCCACAAAAAGTTCTCATCCTGCTAACATCTTGGCCTCCATGCTATCTTGTGGCAGTAAGTTCCATAGGACAACGGTGTTCTTTAACGAGTTGAAATATCATTGAACACCCCATTAACTCGGATTAAGAGACAGGGTGGATACAAAGTCCCCAACTACCCTCTCTCACTTACCCAACTGTCTCCTTAAAAATTTATGGTGGGGAAGACTTTGGAAGAAGGGAAGTTTAGTCCTTTGCCCTCTTATAGCTCAAATTCAACACTTGGCAGTACATCATTAAGGCATAAGCCACAACATGTGCCATGGCAGGTGTCACCAGGTGGCGCCATTCTACAAATCTGTCAGTTCTTTTGCTTAGGTTGCAAGCGTTGTTCTACTATACAGTTGTTAAATGTATGATGCGTGTTCTTTTCAGGGAGGTTGGGAGCTGCTGCAAGCAGCAGATGTGTTTTCTCCCTGCCTTATTTTTCTAGCTAGAGTCAGTTCCTGAGGCAGAGTTGCTGCCATCGGTGTCTGGCCGGGATTCCTGGAAGAGGTTGTCGTTCACGTGACTGTTTGCTACCATGGCTGTGCCAGGACTGAGGTACGTAATGCAAGTAAACAAGTTACACTGAGGGCTTGGCTACACTTGCAGATGTAGAGCGCTGGGAGTTAAACCAGCCCTCGGAGAGCGCAGTAGGGAAAGAGCTGCAGTGTGTTCACACTGTCAGATTCAAGCGCACTGGCGTGGCCACATTAGCAGCTCTTGCAACGCCACAAAGAGCAGTGCATTGTGGTAGCTAGCCCAGTGTGCAAGTGGCTGCAGCGTGCTTTTCAAATGGGGGTGGGGGTGGGTGGGTGGAGTGTGACAGGGACTGTGTTGTGGGTAAGTGGGGGGAGAGAGAGTTGGTTTTGGGGGGGGCAGAGAGTGTGTCAGCATGCTGTCTTGTAAGTTCAGACAGCAGCAGACCCCCCCCCACACCCCATCTCACACACTCACAGCAAGCAGCATTCCACAGGAATGGTTGCTTTGTCCCGGAGCAGGTAAGCAGCCAGCTGTCAGAAATGGAGCTTTGAAAGGGCACATCCGCATTCCTACAGCCAAGTTCACAACAATGGGAAGAGTGGCCACTTGACTTAAGGGGATTATGGGACGTTTCCAGAGGCTGATCACAGCACAGTAATGCAACATGTCGTCCACACTGACGCCCGGGCGTTTCAGCCGAGGCGCAGCAAGCATTGGGCTTCTCGTGGAGGTGGATTACCAGGAGCGCTCCGGCTGCAGAGTCCAGGTGCTGTAAGAGCCTTGCCAGTGTGGACAGGTCGGGAGTTAGGGCGCCCGGGGCTGCTTTAATGCACTCTAACTTGGAAGTGTAGCCAAGCCCTAAGATTAGCCCCAGGCTCTATAGCAGCGGAGTCCAATACGTTCGCCACTAGCCACATGTGCCTAATAGGCTACTGAATTGTGGCTAATGCAAGTGGCTTTTTTATAATGTGGCTAAGAAGAAAAATTCAAAACCACAAGTGTGGCTCGCAGCATGGCTAGCATGGAATTTCTATTGGACACCACTGCTCAATAGTCCTGATTTCTGCTTCAACAGGAAGCCGACCTGAAAGGGGCCAACATTTGCCAACACTCGACCACGGGGTGGCACATGGCAGCTGAGGCATCAAGGGAATCCAAACGTTTCACAGCTATGAGTAGAGATAAATCGGTCCTTACCCAAGGAAACGAGGGCCTGGTAATTCCTCAGCATCTGGTCCCGGTACAGCTGCTTCTCTGGCCGGGATAAGAGCTCCCACTCCTCCCGGCTGAAATACAGAGCCACGTCCTCAAACGCCACCCGCAGCTGCTGGCACAAGCGTTACACACTCAGCACCCTCCGCGCCAGCCCCAGCCCGGGCTCTCAGCAGGGGACGCGGGTTCTAGGGCAGCGGCTCCCGGGGAACCCCCAGCCCAGCAGCTGTGACCCAGGGAGACCCCCCCGCACAGCCCCCCGGGGACTCGGGGTAAAGGGGTCGCGCCTGGCTCCGCATGTCCGCCAGGCTTTGTGGGTGGGTCCTGGGGCCCCAAAGCCGCTCCCCGGCCCCAGCGCTCCGCCTGCTGCAGCCCCTGACCCCCGGGCTGCGCTGGTGCAAAGCGGGAGCCCGGACCCTGCCTCGCCGCGCTGATCCGCTCCCAGCCCCGGGGTCACTAGCGCGGGAGGGACCCGGGTCCCAGCCCCCAGCCGGGACCAGCCAGTGCCCGGCCGGGGAGTCCCCGCCCCGCGTCCTACCTGCGCCGGCCCCGCTGCAGCCATCGCCGGGCTCGGCTCCGGCCCGGGCAGCGACCTCCCGCCCGGGCAGCGACTTCCCGCCCCGCGGCTGCTCCCTCCCCGAAACCGACTGGCCCGCCTAGGGCTGCAGCCGGGACCCGCCCTGCGCAGGGGCCGGGCTGGGACCCAGGTGTCCGGGAAGGCCCCGCCCCGCTCCAACCCTGCCGCGCTCCCCGCCCGCGCCTGCGCCGCCAGCTCCAGCAGCCGGGGGAGGCCCCAGCGCAGGGACTTTCTGGATCAGCCCCCCGGACGCCTGGGTCCCGAGTCCGGCCGCCGGGGGCGCTCGCGGCACCTGGAGCCCCAGTGGCAGGAGCCCGTAAGGGGGCAGCTCGGTCCCCGCCCCTGGGCTGTGCGTGGGGCCGTAGGGAGCTGGCTAGGGCGGGGGCTTGGGAGCCCCGATTCCTGGGTTCTTTCCTGGCTCTTGGAGAGGAGTAAGGATCAGTGGGGACAAGAGGGCTCAGGCCAGGCTGTGCAGCTTGTCAGTCTCTCAGTAATGGTATGTCTACACTGCGAAGTTGTCAACAAAACATTTGTCTTTCACGGGTACTTAAAAAAGCCCCCTCCACGAAAGACAAAAATTTTGCCCGACGCAAGTGGCAGTGTGAACGCGGCTTTGTCGGCAGGAGCGCTGTCCTGCCGACAAAGCTAATGCCGCTGGTAGGGCTGGAAGAATTTGGCAGCAAAAGCTTGTTGACCCCCTCAAAGATTCTAGTAGATTGGTGAGGCACAATTTCCCTTTACTAAAACCATGTTGACTCTTCCTCAACAAATTATGTTCATCAATATGTCTGACAATATTGTTCTTTGTTATAGTTTCAACCAGTTTGCCTGGTACTGAAGGCAGGCTTACAGGCCTGTAATTGCTGGGAGCATCTCTGGAGCCCTTTTTAAAAGTTAGCGTCACATTAGCTATCCTCCAGTCATTTGGTACAGAAGCTGATTTAAATGATAGGTTACATACCACAGTTAGTAGTTCTGCAATTTCACATTTGAGTTCCTTCAGAGCTCTTGGGTGAATTCCATCTGGTCCTGGTGACTTGTTACTGTTCAATTTATCAATTTGTTCCAAAACCTCCTCTAGTGATACCTCAATCTGGGACCGTTCCTCAGATCTGTCACCTAAAGAGAATGGCTCAGGTGTGGGAATCTCCCTCACATCCTCAGCCGTGAAGACCGATGCAAAGAATTCATTTAGTTTCTCCGCAATGGCCTTATCGTCCTTGAGTGCTCCTTTTGCACCTCGATCGTCCAGTGGCCCCACGGGTTGTTTAGCCGGCTTCCTGCTTCTGATGGACTTAAAAAAAAAATTGCTATTACTTTTTGAGTCTTTGCTAACTGTTCTTCACATTCTTTTTTGGCCTTCCTAATTGTGTAGTGTGTGTGTCTTTCAGGAGGGCTGCACCATGTGTGTTACAGGAGCTCACACCTGTGTCTCTGCCCAGCGCCATGGGGAGGGCAGCTGCCCCATACAGATGCCCTGTTTTGACCTCGGTGCTGGCGCCCTGGCTGTGTGCCCCTGTCCTCCCGCCCATTGAGCCAGGCCTTCCGCCCCCCTGGCCACAACAAATGGTCCAAGGTAAAACGCATCAAGGGCCCGCAGGATGCCGAGCACAGCCGGTGTAGTGTAGGAAACTGCTCTCTGTAGGAATATGCTATTTAGGGTGCACTCAGCAGGCTCACACAAACAGAGCATGCTCACTAACATCTGCTGAAGCCACTGCCCTTCACCCTGCCCTTATTAGCCATAAGATTCTGCTGACTGCTTTTAACAGGAGTTAAAAAGGGGCAAAGGGGGGCAAATCGGAGGAAGGGGGTGGCCAGGGTCTGAGCAGGGGGTGAAACTTGACTGGTCAGGGGGGTCAAGCAGCTGGAGGCAGGGTTAGGGTAGGGGCTGAAGGCAAAATCAGGGATGGGGTGGAGAGGTGACAAGTTAAGCCCAGGGTGAGGAGGTGCCAGAGGGTGTCAGAGGGCAAAACCCCGGCACAGGCAGAGGCAGAGGGGGTAACAGTTACCCCGGTGGACTGAGACACCAGTGTTTGCAAAAATAGGGTGGGGGGAACAGAGGGGCTTTTCTATTTCCCCTCCCACAGACTGGGCTTCCCAGGGCTGGGTTCTTAAAGGCACGGGCATTCCAATGTCTTTTCTTAAAGGCACGGGCATCCGAATGCCCGGTCACTGCAGCTCCTCTTTGACGTAACCTACTGAGGTGCTGCAGCAGGAGACTTAATTCAATGAAACCGGGCCTTCCCTACCCCCCAGAGGGCTGTACACCCCCCCTCAATTTCCCCAACAGTCCCGTCGTGTCCCCCCCGCCAGTGGTCAACTAGTTACATGCAGTGTTGCCAGTTTAGTCATTGGCTCGAAACTTGAATTGAAATTGAAACATGAATACACACTTTAAAAAAAAGTCAATAAGGCTTTCTGCATGTTGATGCAGTCCAGAGGATTGGAGTTTTGCAGCCTTTTCGCAGTTTGTCATTCTGCATTGGCTTTGCTGATGAAGCTGGCAAACCAGGCTCCTCCACATTTACTATATAAATCCATGGTATGCTCACATAGAATCATAGAATCATAGAATATAAGGGTTGGAAGGGACCCCAGAAGGTCATCTAGTCCAACCCCCTGCTCGAAGCAGGACCAATTCCCAGTTAAATCATCCCAGCCAGGGCTTTGTCAAGCCTGACCTTAAAAACCTCTAAGGAAGGAGATTCTACCACCTCCCTAGGTAACGCATTCCAGTGTTTCACCACCCTCTTAGTGAAAAAGTTTTTCCTAATATCCAATCTAAACCTCCCCCACTGCAGCTTGAGACCATTACTCCTCGTTCTGTCATCTGCTACCATTGAGAACAGTCTAGAGCCATCCTCTTTGGAACCCCCTTTCAGGTAGTTGAAAGCAGCTATCAAATCCCCCCTCATTCTTCTCTTCTGCAGGCTAAACAATCCCAGCTCCCTCAGCCTCTCCTGATAAGTCATGTGTTCCAGACCCCTAATCATTTTTGTTGCCCTTCGCTGGACTCTCTCCAATTTATCCACATCCTTCTTGAAGTGTGGGGCCCAAAACTGGACACAGTACTCCAGATGAGGCCTCACCAATGTCGAATAGAGGGGAACGATCACGTCCCTCGATCTGCTCGCTATGCCCCTACTTATACATCCCAAAATGCCATTGGCCTTCTTGGCAACAAGGGCACACTGCTGACTCATATCCAGCTTCTCGTCCACTGTCACCCCATCTTGAATACTGTGTGCAGTTCTGGTCATCCCATCTCAAAAATGATATACTGGAGTTGGAAAAGGTACAGAGAAGGGCAACAAAAATGATTAGGCTTATGGAACAGCTTCTATATGAGGAGAGATTAAAAAGACTGGGGGACTTTCCGGCTTGGAAAAGAGACTATGGAGCCGGGGGGGGCGGGGGGGGGGGAGTGTCTATAAAATCTTGACTGGTGTGGAGAAAGTGAAAAGCTCCCTCACATAACACAAGAACTAGGGGTCACCCAATGACATTAATAGACAGCAGGTTTAAAACAAACAAAAGGAAGTACTTCTTCACACAACATACAGTCAACCTGTGGAACATTTTGCCAGGGGCTGTTGTGAAGGCCAAATCTAGAACAGGATTCAAAAAAGAACTAGATAAGTTAATCAAGGATATGTCCATCAATGGCTATTCGCCAGGATGGGCAGGGATAAACACCATGCTCTGAGAGCCTCTGTTTTCCCAAAGCTGGGAGTGGATGACCAGGGATGGATCACTCAATAATTGCCCTGTTCTGTTAATTCCCCTTGAAGCACCTGACATTGGCCACCGTCGGAAGACAGAGTACCGGGCTAGATGTTCTGACCCAATATGGCCGTTCTTATGTAAAAATTAATTATAATATAATAAAAATGTTTGGTACAGAAACTCCCAACACCAGCCAAAATCGATCACTTGGGCAACACAGCTCTGTCTGCTGGATACCTAGGCAGAGTAGGTGAGTTCATGTAAATACAGTCTGGTCCTGAAGCCTTCCCCCCACCCCGGCTCATCACTAGCTGTCAGGGGAGAGCTCACTCAGACCTTGCTTACAAACCATTATTTTAAATTATAAGGTTGGCCAACATTGCCAAAACCAATGCGCCAATATTGTCAGCAAAAACAGCTGTGTGAGGAAGCTAGTCTTTGTTCAGACTTTTCAAACCTATTATACTTTTTCAGGTACAAGTATTTTATCATCCATTGTATCTGCTTTTAAAGTGTGTATTCACGTTTCAATTTCAATTCAAGTTTCCAACCAATGACTAAACTGGCAACACTGCACGTAACTAGTTGACCACTGGTGGGGGGGGGGGGGCTGTTGGGGAAATTGAGGGAGGGGTGTACCCCCTGGGGGGGTAGGGAAGTCATAGATGAGATTTTCTCCATTAGGATCATAGACTATCAGGGTTGTCCTGGTTTCACTGAATTAAGTCTCCTGCTGCAGCACCTCAGTAGGATACATCAAAGAGGAGCTGCAGTGACCTGGCATTCAGATGCCTGGGCCTTTAAGAACCCAGCCCTGGGAAGCCCAGTCTGTGGGAGGGGAAATAGAAAAGCCTCTCTGCTCCCCCAACCCCATTTTTGCAAACAGTGGTGTCTCAGTCCACGAGGGTAACTGTTACCCCCTCTGCCCCTGCCTGTGCTGGGGTTTTGCCCTCACCCTGGGGTTAACTCGTCTCCTCCCCCACCCCCATCCCATCAGCCCCTACCCTAACCCTGCCTCCAACTGCTTGACCCCCCTGTACCTTGTGCATGGGCAGTAGGAGCCCACTAGAGGGCAGCCAGCTCCTTGTCCTTGGGCTGTGGGGCCTCGCTGTGCCTTGGGGAGCTGGCTAGAGCAGGGTGCTGGGAGCCCAGATTCCTGGGTCCGCCCTTGGCTCTGGGAGGGGAGCGGGGACTAGTGGGTACAAGAGGGCCCAGGCCAGGCTGTGCAGTGTGTGTGTCACAGTAAGGGACAGGTCGGGCTGTGTGGTGTGTTTGTTGCTCGGCTGTGTGATGTTGGTGTGTGTGTTATAGGAGATCACACCCCAGCTGTGTAATGTGTGTTAGAGGAGCTCCCACCCAGCAGG